CACAAGCCAAATATGCATCCGATCTTCTAGCACATGCTGGTCTTACCGATTGCAAGACTACCTCTACTCCCGTTGATCCTCAGACTCGTCTCAATCCTCTCGACGGAGATCTTCTCTCTGATGCTACTTTTTATCGCTAGCTAGTCGGTAGTCTTGTCTATCTCACTGTGACTCGTCCTAATATTGCCTATGCTGTCCATCTTGTTAGTCAGTACATGTCGGCTCCTCGCACCCCGCATTACACTGCTCTACTTCTATACTTCGCTACCTCAAAGGCACTATGTTCCATGGACTCCACTACTCTGCTCACTTTTCTCTTGAGCTTTGTGCCTTATCTGATGCTGATTGGGCTGGGGATCCTACTGATCGATGCTCCACCACGGGTTTCTGTTTTTTCTTAGGAGATTCTCTTCTTACTTGGCGAAGCAAAAAACAGTCCCTCACTGCTCGCTCTAGCACTGAAGCTGAATATCGCGCTCTTGTTGACACTACTCAGGAACTTTTATGGCTTCGCTAGCTCCTTGCTGATATGTGTGTTTCTTTTCCTGGTGCCACCTCTCTCTATTGTGACAATCAGAGTGCCATTCAGATTGCTCACAGTGATGTCTTCCATGATCGCACCAAACATATTGAGATTGATTGTCATTTCATTCGCTAGCATGTTACTCGTGGCACTGTTCATCTTCTCTATATTTCTTCTGTTGATCAACCTACTGATATTTTCAACAAGGCTCATCCTCCTAGTCATTTCAGGGATCTAGTTTCTAAACTCAAGTTAGTTGATGCTTATCCACCTTGAGTTTGAGGAGGGCTGTTAATATATATATTTATATTTATCTCATTATATCTCTATCTCTCTCTATCTTTATCTTATCTTTATCTCTATCTCATTGTATCTCTATCTTTCTTTCTCTCTATCTCTATCTCCTTCTATACTTATCTTTTGTGTTCAGCCTATAAATACAGGCTCTCCTATTATATTTTCATTCATTCAATAATACAGATACATTATTCTAACAAAATTTGTCAAAAGATGACAACTCACTAAAATTACATTTGTCAAAATGATACAACTAATCAATTTTAATTTTGTCAAAAAGTGAACAGTGACCAGCCAACCAATCAATCAATTTTGTCAAAAAAAATGAATAGTAATATTTTCAAAATATTTTCATTTAAATAATATATGTAACAAATATATCATACAACCTATATTTTAAATAGATATTATTTTTTGACAAATAATATAGAATATGTATATTAAAAAATCTAAAATTTTCAAATAATATTTTAGACATCATCAAAATTAAACAATATGATTAACAAAATTAAAAAGTCAGCCTAAACATACTAATTTTTTTATCTCATATTTTAACTAAAAATTTAAAAAGTTACTAAAATAGCTTGTTCCCAAACCAACATATCCTAAAAGAGTTTTATCTTGTCATATTTTCATTTTCAATTTCAATTTCAATTTATTTTATGAACAAAAAAAATTAGGTTTTAGTCTAAACAAATTAAGTTCTAAATTTTTAATTTTATCAATTTAAATTTCAATATTATGATTTTTGTTCCATCTAATCATCTACTTATTTTCATTAACATTCCGTTTATTTCAGCAAAAAACATTTTCTAATGGATTATATTTTCTACATTTTTTTTTATAAATATATTTGATTGTGTTCCCGAAACTAATAGTGGTGGCAATGAGGTGGTGATGGAGGTAAAGGTGGAGATGGTGGGGTGGTGGTGGTGGCTGTAACAACGGTAGTGGTATGATAGTAGTAGTAATGATGCGATGGAAGTGGAAGTAGTGGTGGTGGTGACAACAGCATCGACAACAACAGTAATGGTGGTCATGGCCATGGTGATAGAGGTGATGGTAATGTGGTGACATTAGAAAATTTTTAATTCAAAAAACTTTTTTCCGCCTTTAAAAATGAAAAATATTTTCTGCCCAAATAGGGATATAAACTATTAATCATGAAAAATATTTTACGTTGACTTTTATTTTTCGTTATACCAAACACCCAAAAAATAAAAATTTTAAAATTTTAAAAATGTATTCTATCCAAACAAACAAAGCTAAGTATTGATAAAAAGCTAAAAAATCATTCTAAAACATTTCAATTTTTTTCACGCTCATGTTTTAATTAAAAAAAAAAAAATGCTACTATCAAACCAACCCTAAATCAATTGGTTTTTTTAATAGGGGGGCCATTTAGAAACATACAAAAAAAAAAGAAGAAGGCCAAAAGCCATCTTTTAACCCATTTTGGGTTACATTACATCTCACATAAAAAAGTTTAAAAAGCAAAAAAAAATAAGCTTTTAATCATCTTCCCAAAATACCCCAGAATCATATACCTAACAAACCAATCACATTACCTAATTATATATAGTTGCAGGTAGTTAAAAAAACCTAAAATGCTACTAAAAGAACTAGTTCTCAAACCAATCCTAAGTCAATTGGTTTCTTCAACAAAATTATATACCTAACAAACCAATCACACTACCTAGTTATATACAGTTGGATATAGTTTCATCAATCCATATCTACCGGATATGTTCAACGTGGCCTACAAGAAATGGACTTGATCTTAAAATCCTAATGTCACCCAATATTTGACAAGGATCTTAGCCCCTTCCTTGCTTCATCCACAGTCCTACGAAGCACGACAGAATCAATTGTCCAAAGCTGGTTTGTTTCTTTTCAGAAAAATTCCCAACAAATGCAGTGCCATTGCTCAGCATCTTATTCAAATCATAAAGGCTTAGATCTTGAGGTTCATCATCATATTCAATAAAAGCGCAAGTTGGAGTTGACAATTACTTTTGAAAAGTCCTTGGAATGAAAGTAGTCTTCATGCAAGTATTTAGTGTAGGAGAAAAACAACAGGAGTTTTGAGGGAATATGAAAGTGATTTGAGTTCCTATAATACTAATATTTGAAACGAATTGAAATAAGAAGATAATTCATAATTATCTACTTTAATTAGAATTAGAATTAGAATAATTTTCTCGAACCAATATTCCGAGAACGTGGAGGCATTCTTACCAAAGTATTAGTAGTCGTTTTAGTGGTGGAGGTGCTATTGATAGTGCCACGACATACCTCGAAGATGGATTTCATATCCTCTAACATGAACCTTGGTGATATCATTCTCTAACAACTCTACCCAAGAATAATTTAAAAAACAAAATAACAAAACATAAAAACACTAATTGCTTCATCATCATAACCATCTGTAACAAATCAATTATGCAAATGATAAAATCATGTTTCAATGTCAAAAGTTGAAATGGCAACAGAATTCTAAAACACATTTCAAATAACCAAACTAAAATACTGCATTGCTATTCAAGACCAACGTAACTAACAAAACTGTAATAATACCAACAAAAGTATTTTGCTCTAGATAAAAGGACAGTTAAATCGATCTAGATAATTCCAATCTTATTTGCAACATCCAAGGCATCATAGTCCAGAGTCAACCGAGCATATGCCTTCTTGGTACTACATTACAATAATACAAGCTTGGGTTATTCCAAGTTGCATCAGCTTTGTCTCAAATTTTAGTTTTGAAGAAACACAACGCAACACATATAACAAATGAACTTGCATACGGCAAATAGATAAGATATGAACCAAATTTTTACTCAATCAATCACAATTGTAAAAATTAATCACTATTTTTACTCAATCAACCACAATTGTCCCAAACATATTAATTTTTTTGTATCATATTTTAGCCAAAAAATAAAAAGTTATGAAAAAGCTTGTTTCCAAACGGGCTTTTATACTATGTCTGGGAACTTAGGAGAGAAAAGAAAAGAAATTATTACTTAAGTTATAAGAGAAATGTAAAGAAAAGATATGGTTATAATTTCTCTCATTCTTGTTTAGATAAGTAAGAAATAAAATAAAAGAAATGGCCGTAATTTATCTCCTTCTTATTTGGTTAGATTTCATAAGATAAAAGAAAAGAAACTGTTTTATGTTATATTACCAAAATAACCTATTTATATTTTGTCAATCATTTTATTTCTTTTATTTTTACAGGGATAAAATTGATATTATGAAAATATAAGAATCTGTTGGTTTATTTTCTTTTCCAATCTCTCTACTTTTGAGAAGATTGAAAATTAGGGTTATCAGATAAATGAGTTTCTTTCAATTTTTATCCATTTCTCTCCACTTAAATTATTCAAACAAATAAAATAAATATATACCTCCAAATCCCTCAATATAGGGGGTGTTTGGTGGGGTTTTTTTGAGCCAATTTATGGCTTCTGGCTTTTAAAAAGTTAGTTAAACTTATTTCAAACAGTTTCTGATTCTAACAACTTATTTTAAGTCAAAAAAACTGATTCTGAAAAGCTGCTCACTCCTTATTTCTGATTATCAGCTTCTGCTATGGACATGTTAATTTACGGCTATACTCATAAATTTTTTTTATTTTTTATTTTTTTAAAAATAGAAAAGACCCAAATGGACTATAAAATATTATTATTATTTTTTATGAGAAATGTAGACAAATAGTGAATAATAAAAAATAAAAGTTAATTGAAAAAGTTACTTTCACAGCTTATTTAACAAAACTACTTAGGTCTCGTTTGGGAACCCTCATTTTTAGCAAAAAAGTTAAAAAGTTACTAAATTAGTCAAAAAATCAACAACTCATACAAAAAAGTCAAAGATTCTCTTTTCTCTTTACTTTTTGCACATTTTTTCGTAAAAAGCTAAAAAGTCATTCCAAACATACTAGTTTTTTTTAATAACCAAAAAGTTACTAAATTAACATATTCCCAAACGAGGTCTTAGTAACTTACATCTATAATCTAATAATTATACTAAACAAATTATAACTTTTGATTAAAATTATAATCTATAATCTGTTAAGTATAATTTATAATCTGTTTTTAAGAATTACACTAAACAGGACCATAGTGTTACTAAAACCCTAGATGAGGCCCAGCCCAAGTCTCTCATTGCATCGTCTACCCGCTCTCTTGCATTATTCACGTCACATAACATAAACCCTCCTCACTGCAACCACCGCCACGACGACATTCAGCTCCGCCCTGACCACCACCACCACCACCACCACCACCACCGAATTCCTTCCCTCTCTCTCATATACTCTCTCTCTCTCTCTCTCTCTCTCTCTCTTTGTGACCACATAAATTTGTGTTCAACTCGTGTAGAACATGGCTCATACAACTGAGGTACCTCTCCTTCCTTCCATATGTTTGTTGTGTTATTTGAAGATTACCGCATTCTTTTTTGCTAATTGAAGTCTCAGATACTACTACTCACTACTTTGTTTATGAATTCTATTCCATTCCTTCCGTATAAACTAAAATGGCTTCTTGTGTTATTTTAATATATCAATTACAGAGCGTGTTGTTTGTTACTTGAATTCTCAGATACTGCTTTATGTATTTATTTATATTTTTGTGGGTATCTTTTGGGTACTCTAGTGTTTTAATTGTTTTTTAAATTTATTTATAAGTAATTTCTAGTGTGTTAATTGTGTCACTTCACCTACCCAAGGAATTGATGGTTACATTATATTCATATTGTTTGATTCTAACCTCCTCTCTTGTGGCTTTTGGGGTATGGAATAATTTTTGTTATGGTGATGGAACCAATTTGATTGATTGAGACATTTTTGAACCAATTCTTTCAAAAAGTATATATGTATATATTTTTTTATAATTTTAAATTTTCCCTTAATGTTTTCTGCATTATGGATTGCTAAGTTTAGTGCTCTATTTGGTTCAATGAAATGAGATGGAATGATTATTCCCTTACAATTGTGTATGATGATTCTATTTGCAATGTATTTTTCATTATATATATATTTTTTTGTCAACCAAACATGGGAATGAATGTTTTGATGGAATGACTCCATTCCAGTGAACCAAACACTACCTAAGTGCTTAGTGCTGTTGCACTTCTAATGTCAATTTGCTATATTTTTCTTCATAATTTTCATGCGTGTGTGCTCACCTAATTCAGTTTTTGAGTGTAGTCTTGACCCATTTAAGTTTAATGCAGGGTGCATCGGAGAGTGTGGAGGTGGTTCGGTTCAGTTTCATGACAGATGAGGAGGTCAAGAGTCACAGTGTTGTGAAAGTCACAAACCCTATTTTGCTCGACAACATCGGGAGGCCTATCCCTGGAGGGCTGTATGATCTAGCAATGGGGCCATTAGATGAACAATCACCGTAAGTCTCTGCATACGCATTTATCTATCCATCCCATAATATGTACATGGCTGTTTAACTTGGCTACTTTTGAACAACATATTTCTTTGTATCTATGGGAGAATCTTGCACTATGTATAAGTACTTGATATTTAAGTGATGGTAGAATGAAGGAGGATCACCATTTTCACTTATCAAAAAAGAAGAAGAGGACTGCTTTTGGTGCACAGATGGCTTCACTGATTGCTTATAAAAACTGCATACACCAAGGATGTCATGGTTGCTGATTATCTGCCTCCTTTTTGTTAGATTTTGTTGCCAGATTGTTTGTACGGTTGTACCCACAAATGACAGCCCTATGTAGAGGGTTGAGAGTAAGAGGAATGTCATATGGAAACGGAATAGAGAGGTCTTGGACTTGTCTATTAGTAAGATGCTGGAGTCTTTATAAAGTGCATGCACAGGATATTGGCGCTTAACAGTGCCGATAGAATTGCCCCAACTGTGAGTATCAAAGGCCTATAGAACCTAGAAGGGGGTATCTCATTGTAGGTCTCCTAATGGCTGGTAGAACCTAGAATGGGCCTAGCGCGTTCAAATGCAATTTTTGGATGGTGATGGCAAATCCAGAGGTGATTCCTCATTTTGAACTGCCACTTCGCACATGATTAATGAGAAGTTCTGGCACGGGACAAGCGATAGACATGCCAAATGATGAGATGGAATCCCACTAACCACTTAAAGAGAGCATGAGCACATAAAAGAGGAAGCATAGTTGTGGGCAGTTATCCAAAATAACCACTAGTATTCTCTAGCAACTATAAATATGGGATATATTTATTGTTGTCAAATTGTGAATTGGATCGCTAATCATATTGCTAAAATAGTTAATTGTGAATCGTAAGATTCACCTTATTTAGCATAATGTATAATTTTACATATGTATACCAAACCAAACCAAGTCTTAAGTCCCATCAAATGAGGTTGGCTATATGAATATAAATATAAACATAAACATAGTGTTAAAAATGAATTAAATATCAATATAACTACTATATGTACATATACATATAAAATCATGTATATCAATATTATTATTTGATCTCTTTTTATTTTTATTTTTGCATAAACGATGCCATTTCATGTAAAATGCAAACATAACTATATCTCAATAAATCGTAGTGAATGATGCCATTTCATGTAAAATGCAAACATAACTAAATCTCAATAAATCGTAGTGAATTGTGATTGAATCGAAGATGCACTCAATTTAATATTCAATAACAAAAATTGAATCATTTTGGTTAAAACTTGAATTGAAATTTTAAGATTCTAACAACCATGTATATATTAGGGATTCCCTCTTCCCTGTTTCAATCATTGTTTCACTGCAACAATTATCTGCACCTTTACTTTTATATTTCCTTTTATTATTTATTTACCATCTGCACATTCTTTCCAACTTATCTCTCCTTGTCATTCAAATTTTTTTAACCAGCTTATTGTTGGCATTTGTTTTGCATTTGCAATCTCATTGCTTGTCTTGAATACAAGTTAATTGCCACACATTCCATCATGTGTTCTGAAGTTTTTCTTTCTTGATAGTCTTTGAGGGTGGGAAATGGGGGAAAAAATTCATTTGTGGGAGGATATTTGGACTGGAAACTCTTCTATTGCCATGGACTTCCCGTGTCTATATAGGGTATCAAACTCTCGTCATTCTTCCATCGCTTCTTTGGCAAGCTCTAATTTGTCTGTCTCGAATTGCTTGGAACTTTAGTTTCTCAAGAAATCTTACTGAAAGGGAGGTTGGTGATCTAGCTTCTTTGTTGTCTCGTATTGATCATTAGTCATTGGACCCTAACACGAGTGATAAACATGTGTGGCTTTTGCAATCTTCAGGTCTCTTTCCTTTAAAAATAATTTTTTGATAAGATTATTGGGAACCCATTTGTTCTTTCCTTTTCACAAAAGAATCTGGAAATCTTTGCGCCTCTCAATGTAAAGTTTTTTACGTGGTCTTTGGTTCATGGAGGCATTTTAACCAATGATGTTTTTCAAAAGAGGAGACCTAATTGCTATCTTTGTCCTCAATGGTGCATCATGTGTTTGAATCATCTATTTTTACACTGTCCAGTGGCAAGGTGGGTGTGGCAGCAACACTTTTCTTTGGGTGACCTTGCGTGGGTGGCCCCCGAAGCAAGCAAATCCATGCTCTTAATTGATTTTCGAGTTTTGGGCATCAATAAAAAAGGCGAAGGCGCTGGGGCTCTGCGCCATATTTGCAATTTTCTAGGTTATTTGGCTAGAGAGAAATGCAAGGATATTTGAAGATAAAAGTGCTGATGTAACATCTTTGTGGGAAAAAGTTAGATTTTTTTTGGCTCCCCTGTTTAAAGGGATTCTGCTTTCTTGATCTCTAGTGATTGGAAGTTAGTGTGTGACTCTTAGATGTGTTCTGTTTTCAATTTTTCCTTCTCGGATTCTCTGTTTTCTGGACTCCTGGTCCTCTTTTGTAAGCCTCTTTATTTTTCCTCTTTTTAATAAAAGATCATTTTGTCGCTGATAAAACAAATATATGGGAACTTGTGAAGTACTTTCATCAAAGGTGAAGAAAGAACCAGTGGTTAGATCCCTAAACCGCACATGCCTAATCTTTTTAGATTGCCTAGCCCTCGTGCACTTAGATGAAGTTTGGTCCTAGCACACCCTTGCGTCACTCACACCACAATTTTAAGGTAGTGTTTGGTTCACTGAAATGAAGGTGGAATGGAATGGTCATTCGTTAGCCTCTCTACGGAATGATCATTCCCTTACAATGATGAATGATGATTCCATTTGCAATACATTTTTCATTGTTTTCTTAGTGAACAAACATGAGAATGGACAATTTGATGGAATGATTGTTTCATTCCACCTTTGAGCATTTTTTTGAAGGATGTGCAATTAGATTCTGGTAATTTTTGATGTTCTTTTGGTGTGTTCCCATCATCACAAATTCTCAATTTATGAATCGTCTACAATTTTGAAGGCTGGATGTGAAAATTACCTATGATGTTAAGTCTCAGAAGTGAATGAGATGAATTGATACAAGTACAGTGGGAGCTCCAAAAGGACAGGGAGGAGGTCCTGAAGAACACAGATTGATGGCGGCTGGATGTGACTAAGGGTTTATGTATCTTTGAACTGTTTTTAAGTTAACATCATTCTTTCTAATTGTGTTGTTTCCCTGAATTTCTGTTGTTCTGACCTGTTCTCCCTCCCCCCCCCCCCCCCCCCCTTCTATTGCTGCAATACTTTTTCCTTCTATTAGTGAAGGATGTGAAACAAATAACTTTATGATTTTATTGGAAATAATTTGATTATGTTTTGACATTTGATTGATACAGTTTATTTTTCTAAATGTGCAGCTGCAAAACATGTGGCCAGCGTTCGTTTCATTGCCCAGGTCATTGTGGACATATTGATCTTATTACATCAGTCTACAATCCATTGATGTTTGATATGCTCCATTATCTTTTACAAAGAACCTGTTTCTTTTGCCTACATTTTAGGGCAAGCAGAAGCCAGGTAGTTTCATCTTATGGGGATTTTATCATGTGGCTGGTCTACGCTCCATGAATTTTATGCTTCTTTTTAGTATTTTTTTGGTTGTCATTTTGTTCATTTGATGATCCTTTTCTGTTTATGTTATTGTTGAATATTTTGTTCTCATTTAAGGTTGAAAAATGTGCTCTTCAATTAGAACTCATAGCAAAGGGTGACATTGTTGGTGCCAAAAGGTTAGATTCACTCTCATCTAGTGAATCAATCGATCCAGGGGCTAGTGAGCATGGGAAACAAGGATGGACCTCTGTTCAATTTACGGAAGCGATGTCTGTCTTGAATAAATTTCTGAAGCCAAACTTTGTGGCGTGCAAGAACTGCAATGCCAAAAATCCTAAGATCAGTAAACCTACTTTTGGATGGTTTCATATGGTACATCTTTTATCTGCTTTTCTATTGCTCAAATCCTGGCCAATAAGTTTAATTATTCAGTGGCTAAGTTAAAGCATTTTGACTACTAATTATTCCTATAAGCATGATGGATGCTTGATGCTTATCAATGACAATTTGGTTCTTTTGGTGTCAATGCCTGGCTTAATTATTATTATTTTTTTTTGTCATTTTACAAAATAAATTGTTTTCATATATTTTTGTTATTGTGCTTTGAATAAGAAAGCTGTTATTTATTTATTATTATTGTTTTTGTATAATTTTTAGTCATGAAATGTGGGGATTATAGTCGTTAGCAGACTGTTTTTACTAGAGGAATATTGGCATAAATTGATTTAGTTTAGAAAAAATATACTTCAATTGCTTGATTATTACAGAACTTGTATTTCATTACCACATCTTTAATTAGTAGTTTTACAGAACATATGACCATAATATGTAATATTGTAGATTATTTTGGGAAATTGGGCAATTACTATCTTTGTAGACATGACTGTTTATATGGTCAAATCACATGAAGATATTGAGTAATGAATGCACATTGATACCTGTAGGAGAAAACTTGAAGAGGGCATACTCTAAGGAGTGATGTTCTTTTTTGGGAAGTTGAGGGGTGGTTAGGTCTATCTTTTGTATTTTTTTCTTCTTATCTTCGTTCATTCTGTTTTTATTTGATTACAAATATTTATTGCTGCTAAAAAAGGGGGTCTTCCCTGTACTCAAATCCTACTAGAAATAACAAATAGAAAACATCTCTTTCTTTGATTTTTGCTAATCCAAAGTGTCTAGGTTAGCTCCTCGAACCCTTGAATCATATGAATAACCAAAATAAGCCTCCGTGGACGAAATCCCCTTTTCTTCTAAATACCTCAGGAACCACCATTATAAAAAACTGACATCCAATCCTGTATTGGAGCTTTCTTATTCACTTCCAATGAAACAAGCTGGGGTAGGGAACACCTCCCACAAACGTCTCTAGCTGCACCAAGAATCAAGCCAAAACTTCACTCTATTCCCACTGGCACCTTGAACAGAATTCTTTTAGTGAACTCATTCCAAACCCTCATTAAATTGCCAACTATGTAGAGGCCAGGAGGACATAGGATTTTGAGGAAGGGTTAGTAATGCAAGTCGTTGATGCAGATCGTATTAATAAGGATAATGAAGACTCAAAAATTCTTATTCTTCTTCATTATTTGTTTTTGATAAGTCCTTCAATAATTGAAGGAATGGCCTTGGAGATTTTATGTATAGAAGTTGCCTTTGTATTAACACGTGTTCACACATTGAAAGGCATCCAAAAATAATATATCCAATAAAAGAAGTGCATGTAACAAAAAATTATTTTTATATATTTTTCTAAGGTTAATATAAATATTTTTGGATTCCCTCAACTATTGAACGAATGGCCTTTTGGAGTTTTTGGGTATGTTTGATTTTCAGGATTAATAGTGAGGGGATTAACAATCGATGAGATTAGTGTAGGATTGGTTATCTAGTTGTTTGTTTTGTAATAAATATGGAAATATATAATCCCAATTATATGTATGTTTTGTGTTACTAGTTGTAAGCTTAAAAAAATTTGTTGATTTTGTTGGATAGAATGACCATTGGAATCTAATCCAAATAATAAAATTTGCAACCAAACAATGGAATGTGAGCCTGATGGATTAATAATCCCAATCCTATGCTATAGTCTGCCTAGTCAAACAAGCCTTTTATGTATAGAAGTTGCCTCCGTATTAATAATGTTCACACATTGAAAGGCATCCAAAAATAATATATCCAATAAAAGAAATGCATGTAACAAAAATGTGATTTTAATATATTTTTCTCAGGTTAATATAAATATGTGAATACCTTGATTAGACCGGTTAAACTAGGAATACCACAATTTCACCTGGTCAATCCTTATTAGAAAAGGTATATGGAATTATATGTTTATATATATAGACAAAAAAAAAAAAAAAAAAAAAAGTTGCTTTGTTCGGATTTCATTTTCAAAATATGTTTTTTGAAAATTAAATTTTTTTTTACTAAAACTAGTTTGGTGAAAAAATGAGAAAATAATGTACACACATCATTTTTATACGATTCTCTCTTTTTGGGGGTGAAAATATCTTTTTGGTTTTTATTTTTTTGTCAAACTAGTTTCTATTTTTCAAAACAATTCAAAAAATAGATTTCGAAAACTAAACCAAAGAGTGTCGTTTCTGTTATACCCCCTTTGGTGAATAACCTTGGTAATCAAACGTTTCAATGTTTTAGTCTTGGAGATTGCTAGCCTCAAACTGAGATGAAAACTTGATGCATTATTATTATTATTATATATTTTTTTGAGATGAGTTAATTGTATAAGGTACAAGTAACTTGCTTGATACATGTAAAGGGTGGATCAAGTTGGGAGATAGAGCGATGGTAGAAGAGGAGGTGATTAGGGAGGGTATTGCTAGTTTTTGTGGATAATTATATTCGAAGTATGGAGATCTTGGTGAATGGAGCTCCAACAGGAATTTTTTTCCCTACTTCTGGAGGTCTTAGACAAGGAGATCCGCTTTCCCCTCTTTTTGTTTATCTTGACGATGAGCGCTAAGTCACATGTTGAAGACAGTTCAAGGAGGCTTCATGAAGTGTTTCCACTTTCCAAGTGGCTTGTGTGGATGGATCAGAGATTTTAGTATCCCATCTTTCATATGTTGATGACATAATTATCTTTTGCGGAGCTGAGCCAGAGCAACTTGGTTACCTTCTATGCATGCTAGTTTGTCGTCAGACGGTGTTGAGTTTGAAGGTAAATTTGGGAGTTCGAGCTCATTCTAGTGGGAGAGATAGGGAATGTGGAGGCTCTAGCATCTATTTTCCACCAGCCTACTTGGGTTTACCTTTAGGGGCATGTCATTGAAAGATTGCGTAAAAGATTGGCAGGTTCGAAGCAACAATATTTGTTAAAGGAAGGTGTTTAACTGTAATAAAGAGCATTCTTTTAAGTCTGTTCACTTGTTTCATGTCTCTATGTGAGTGGCAAAGCGGTTGGAGGAGATGCAAAGGGATTTTTTTGTCATTGGAGAGGATTTCAAATATCATTTAGTTGATTGGCATTTGATTTGTAAGCCCAGTCGAGAAGTGGGCATGGGCTTAAGGAAATTGGTTATTTTTGATTAAGCACTTCTTGGTAAGCGGTGATGGAAAGTTGTCTTTGATGGATAGGTTTTGGAGAAGGGCGGTCCTTTCTAGGCACGGTTTGGCTCGAGGGATTGGACTTTTACTGAAGTCTCTTTATCCATGGTAAAGGCCTTTGGAAGATCATTGAAATGGTCGGAATGATTTTAGCCAATGTAGTAGTCTGGTTATGGAGGAGAGAAGGGAATGCTACCTCTGAAGTGATATTTTGTGGGGCAGCATTGGAGAGGAATTCAAATATAATTTAGTTGACTAGGATTTGATTTGTAAGCCGATTCGAGAAGTGGTCATGGGCTTAAGGAAATTGGTGACCTGTTGTGCCATGTGCACATGTGCCCACTCACAAACGGTTAGTGACGTGAATAGCTGTATGTGGTGCTGCTCTGCACTTTACCTTATTATTATTATTTTTTTTGTCAAGTTTTTTATTTTTTATTATTTATATAAAGGCAGATAGAACGAGGTTGGTATTAGATAGACTTAAAAGAAGATATGACATATCTATCATTTGGAGACAAAATGATCCTTACTGGGGGGGCATTTTGGCGAATAGCTTAATTGAATTTTCTTCACTTTGAGGAGTTAGAAATGTTCTTCCATCTCTCAGCTAAAACAGTATTGCATTTCATTATTCTTTCTAACATTTTCACTGTTAGTCAGTGTTGATATGTGTATATTCTGACTACTATGGCATATGATATATCTTGCGTTTTGCCTTGGCAGTGATTCTCATTTTCACTTGTTATTTTGTTTCTGTTGTTTATTTGCAATATTTTTTTACAATGCTAGCTAACACTTACTTTTCTTGTCCATAATGTTCATGTTATTGCATGTACTTTTGTAATAGTTCTCTTTTTTCTTGCTTTTAAATGAACACTGGTAGGGTGGTTTATCTGCTGCCAACACTAGAGCAAACATCATTAGGGGTTGCAAGTTGGGAGGCCCACGCAGTGGTGAAAATGAGGAGAATGCTTCTCCCGAGGTGGTAAATGTTGATGACTGCCCATTGGGAAGTGATCTTGACACAGCTGAAACTGATTCATTAAAGGAAGCCGTAAACGGAATTGAAGATTCTAGGCGAGAAAGGCATGGAAGAAAAAAAGGGGAGCGTGTGTCTCGTGAGTTCTCTAAGCAGAAAAATTTCTTTTCGGGGACTCTCTTACCATCTGAGGTATGTCTTTTCTCAGTATTGACTCGGTGACTGTCAATTGGCAACTTGGCTCATTTAATAAATACATTTTTCTTGGTCTTGTCTGTGATTCTCAGCAACTTAGATCCTATATAATACGTAATTACTTTGAGAATTCCTCTCTCTCTCTCTCTCTCTCTCTCTCTCTCACTATTTATTTATTTTTTCCCCACAGGTTAAAGACATTGTAAAGCTTCTGTGGGAAAATGAGGCTCACCTATGCACTTTTATCTGTGATATTCAGCGTGAGCAATGCAATACATCTGGAAATAGAGTTGGTTACTCTATGTTCTTTTTAGAGACCATTCTTGTGCCCCCAATCAAATTCCGTCCTGCGGCCAAGAGTGGTGATTCTGTAAGTGTTATTTATGCTTGGCATGTGATCATCTTGTTATCCCAGAGAGAGCAAAATGCTAATTTTAACCTGTGCCTTGATTCATGCGGTTATAGCAAAGATTGTTTTGATTTCTAAACTAAATACTCATACTTCTGCTCTTGAATTTCGGTTTGTGTAGTTCCTAAACTTATATTATGTTCAATTTTCTTGTGGAGAAGCTTCTGATGTTTATTACTAAAGAACTTTAAATTAGGTCATGATGAATTCGTGTTTTGTGGAAGCTTAGATTTGTTCTTCCATGGAATTGTTTATTATCTGCCTATAGATATATTGTGTACATGATTCACTGTTGAGAAACTTTTGATATTGGAGATTATTACTATACTTCATCAACCTTTGGAGTATAGGAAAAGGAGCACCTCTCTCTCTCTCTCTGTTTTTATTTTATTTTATTTTATTGTATTTTAAATTAATTTTCATGTGGGGGGTGTAAAATACCTTCCTGTAGTTAATGCAAAAATTAGATGGACCCCCTGCATGTCAGTAAAAGACATAATAACCCTTGGGGCATGAAATAAAGTGCAAAAAGCTAATGGGTTGAGGAATCCCATTTCTTTCATTCAATATCCTCTGATTTTACACTACCATTATGCGATCTCTGCATTTTCTCTTTAACAAACATATCCCTTTCTAATGTTTATCTTTGAAGTGCACCAGTAATCACCACTCTCCCACTCTCCCACTCTCCCCACTCTCCCCATCTTCTCTTTATCTCTTCCTAAGCAAAACCTATTTTGAGATGACTATATTCCTCCCACCTCCCCCTCTCTCGCTCCTCTTTCCCTGGATCTGTACATAAAAGGATGAATATTAAATATAATGACATGAATTTTATGCAATCATAAGGAATTTATCTAATCTGTACATATACATGAAATACATCTATTAATTTGTTCATTGTGCTAAAAAATGTACATTGATGGGTGTATAACCTATATAACACCATACAAATAAAGTGAAAGGCAGAGGATGGTTTGCGGTCATGGATGCTAACAATGAGCATGGCCGGGGTTTGTGGAAGTGTGCTTGGATTTGTTGGGTTTATAGGTGAAACATATACATAACAGATAGAGAGAGATCGTCTCTGACTAAGTGGTGGGTGTAGTAGTGGTGGCCATGATACAAGTAGTAATCATATAGATTGGTAATTGGATTGTTTCTTAAATGGAGCCTGGATGCTTCATTTTATTAGTCCAATCAAGCCTTTCTAGGTCCGAGTAGCTTGGATGTTCTAGAGCTTCCTTTGTGAAGCTACCTTATGGAGTTAGTTTGAGGATACTTATAGTTTGAAGGCTTAAGAGAGGCCTTGAAGTACAACTTTTTATAGGAAAAAAATTCCAATGTCAGACAGCTCTCACTGGCCTGAGAGATCTGAAGGAAGTTTTATACATACAACTCCCAATTTTGAATCTTCAGAGGCCCCGAAAATGCTGTGAGTTGTTTGGAAATGGTTGAAGTGGTTGAATAGGAGGATTACTATGGCTACAACCCTCAGTAAATTTACCAAAGGTGCAAATGCTTTGTTTGGTTTATTGCTCTTTCCTTGTGCCTATTTCGCTTTAGGGGTTTGGCTCACATGTTCAACCTTTGTAACTTGATGGTTTACTCATGGATTGGCTAGTTCCTATTTGGAAGGCTGCAGTTTCTTAATGACTGCAGTTTTGAGCAGCCATGATGGTGGCTAGGTGATGCATGGGTATGTGTGTGTGTGTGTGTGTGAGAGAGAGAGAGAGAGAGAGAGAGAGAGAGAGAGATGGGTTGGGATGCAATACATATAGTTGGCATTGTGGGTGTTATATGTATAATAGAGAGTATAGGTCTTTCTAGAATTGGTGGTGTTGTGGCAGCAATGGAGGCTGTGGTGCTGACTATAGATACTGGGTTTCTGTATGGCTAGCTGATTGATGATGGCATAGAGAGGGATGGGTTTTTATGATTAATGACAGTTAAGAACCATGGGATGTGGTAGTGGTGGCCATGGGTGATGTTACCCTTAGGGTATGAAAATCACTTTAACCTTAAATAACCTTAAAAAAACAAGGCCAAATTTCCATTATAAAACTGCTACTTTAGGGCAATAATAGTAATTTTTTATTAATATTCTAGACCATCTTCACGTATTATTATTATTATTGCATAAAAAAAATCTGGATCTTCTCACTCTCTGCCGAATTACTTTCTCATTTTCACAACTTTTAGTTGCATGTACCCACATACCACATTTACTAGAAAGCAAAATTTTGTGATTTGCTACAAGAAAGCCATTGTTTATGTTGTCATCCGTTATCAAAGTAGTTTCTTTGTTTGTGCTTGAGTCCTATTTGAGAGTGTTGGAACGAACTTGTTTTCTTTTTCCAGTAAGTTATGTCGAGTTCAACTGTATATAATGTATTGTGGTTTCCTTAAAATATCACACTTCTGTGTTTTTTTTAGGTGATGGAACATCCTCAAACTGTTCTACTCAGTGACGTGCTGCAGTCCAATATAGCTTTGGGAAATGCTTATGTTAACAACTCTGAACGCTCAAAGATTGTTAACCGATGGATGGATCTTCAGCAGTCCGTAAATATTTTGTTTGATGGCAAGAATACCATGCGTGAGTTTGATTCATTTTTTGTGTAGGTTGCATCATTTGTTTTCCCTATTTTGGAATTCGATTGTTGTACTATTTATTTGCCTTATTTTGTGCGCCCCCCCCCCCCTGTCTCTCTCTGTCTCTCCCCTATAACTGCATCATGGAGGAGGAGAAAAATAAAATATTGTCATAACTAGAATAGGAATACCCAAGTTGTCACACCCCAAATCCGAGGCATGACCTGCCGTGGGCCATAGGGCTGTAGGCCAAAGTACATGTAACCCTAAACAAAAACTCATAATCATACTCATACACTAAATGAATGCAACTATAGTCTAATGTCATAAATAAGCCAATGCTTGATCCAATAACATGTCAAAATATAGAATGACAAAACCAGCTGATGTAGTTAGAATGAGTATGGTTGTTATGTTTTAGTACCATACGAGTTAGTTAGAGTTAGTTGGGTCTTTTATCCTATAAACAGGTGGCTAGGTCTCTCTAGTATTTAGTTTATGATACTTTGAATATTTCAGAGCTTGAGAGCTCTTGTACACAGATTCTCTCTCTAATGAAATTCTTGTCTTGATTTGGCTCCATCATTATAGTATTAGAGTATGGATTGAACCCTAATCATTTTAGATCTGAGTTGATTTTGGGGTATCTAGACTATTGAAAGACCTAGCCCTCGTGCAATCCTGATACGGCCTGGATTCGATCGAGTTTGTGTTGTTTCCCATTACGATTTAGTTATCCAGTATTGTGACGCATGTATTAGAACCTTGGAGAGTTGAATCGAATAGTTTGGTTGATTTCTGTGCTTTATCTCACAGCCTGAAATTCTGAACTGGGTGTTCGCATTTCAGATTTGAGTGGAAGTCCTGGTGAGACCTGGTTGTTTGTGATCTGAAATTGAGTCGAATAGCTGAAAGTTGACTGCCTTGTTAATCTTGTTGTGGTATCTTAACTCGACTTCTCTCATTAGGACTGTTCTGAATCAGTTCTTGTGAATTGATCCCATTTGCATGAATTGATATTGTGAGACACAATTCTTGAATCTTGATTCTCAGTTCTTAATGTTGTATTGCAATCTTGGTTCTTTGACTCTTGAATCTTGATACTGCTGGGAGTTAATCTTGATTTGGATTGATATTGCGTTGTTCTTTGATTGTGAAATTGAGTTTGGTTTGATTGGAACCTGTGAGTGTATATTGGCTACTGTTTGAGTGGTAAATCCTGTAGTAACAGCGCTGTGAACATTGTTTGATTAAGTCTTTGTTTTGAGTTGATGGCTCAATGGGGTAGAGGTAAAAAGGGTGGCCGTGGTCAGGCATTTGTTGTGAATTTGGAAGATGAAATCGGGATGAATCCTTATTTGAAAGGAGCAATGGTAAACCAAAATTAGGGAATGAGATTGAAGAGTTGAGTTCACAAGTGGCTTCCTTGGTTGGAAAAGTGCAACGCTTGCAACTTCTTTCCAAAGGTAGTAATGGTTCCAAGGATCATCAACTTTGATGATTCCTTCAGTGCTCCGCATAGGTGTAGAGCATATTCACATAGGTTTGATTCCTAGTGGAATGACACCATCAAGGATTTAGTGTATCCCGAATTCTATGGAAGTTACATTCCGGATGTGTTTGAGAAATGGTTGAACTCTGTTGAGAGTCATTTGGAGTATTGTGATGTGCTGGAAGTAAGGAAGTGCAGTTGGTCTCTTAAAGCCTCAAAGGTCATGCCTCCGATTGGTGGAAACACTTACTAGTTGGTAGGCAACGAAAAGGCAAAGAAAAACATTAGAGAGGAAGATGAGAAAGAAGCTTTGTGAGCAATTCTTACCTTTTACTCGTATACAATCTTTTTTGGTTGAGAAGCAACAAAGGAAGGGAATTACAAAGTCCGGGCATTGATCTCAGGGCGTCTATGAACTGGGGCAATCATTCTATACCACTTAAAAAGGCGATTATTTGACTGGTGTTGGTTCGAAGAAGTCTTATGATGATGGACATCATAGGGTGCTCTTTAGTGAGGAGCTGGTTGCACCAAGCTATGATAAGGAAGTTTCCTTTTTTGGTGAGGAAGGTGTGGAAGTAAATTGTGACCAAGAACAATGTTGTGGTCAAGATATTCTCGTCTTTGATGGAAATGAGGAACGAGGTTGGGATCAAGATGTTCCTATATTTGATGAGGAACAAGAATATGATGAAGATGTTTCTATCTTTGATGAACCAATGAGTGGGGTGTTGGATTATGATGATGTTAATGTTCATAAATACGAAGAGGAAGTTGATGATTTTGAATAGAGGTATCCCAATCTTTGACCACTATAATGATGTGGATGGCCTTCTTGTAGAGAGTGAAGGTGTCCTTCAAGATGAGGAAAGTTTTGCTCTTACATTGCTTCCCATGAAGGAAGGAGTTGCAATCCCACCTTCCATCTCTTTCTTAGATCCCAAGGAAGTTATAGTGGAGTCATGAACTTGAAGTTTCATGGATGTTAGATAATCTTTGCTTCTGAGAAATGCCTCCTATGCTATCTTCAAAGCGAGTTGTTCCACTTTGTGTTGATTTTGTACCTGTCCTGACTTCGTGCAGGAAGGATGAGTTTATTTTGAGACTATGTGAGAAATGTTATTTTGATGACATCTTGCTTCCAAAACGACATGCTACATAGTTGACCAATTTACACCTCAACATGGCTTCGGTTGATGTGCATAAACGAGAACTCGTTTTGATGGAAGGATATTTGCTACGATAATCTTGAATAAGGACTTGTAACTATTTAGTCTTGTTTGCCGTTGCATGTCCATTATGTTTCCATGGGTCATTGTTTTGAGTCATTTTGTTGACGTCGTTTTGAGCCATTTTGTTGTAGTCCCAACTTGAGGACAAGTTTTTTTAGAGGAGAACTTTGATGTAGTTAGAATTAGTATGGTTATGTTCTTGTACTATAAGAGTTAGAATTAGATGGGTCTTTTATCCTATAAATAGGTGGTTAGGCCCCTCTAGCATTGTATATTTTAGAGTTTGAGAGCTCTTGTACCCATTTTAGAGATTTTCTCTCTAATGAATTCTCTTTCTAAATTGGTTCCATCACTAGCCTTAACCAATTCTGAAAATATAGTAAGTGGGACACAACCCACAAAATAAAACAATTGTAAATGAATCGTTGAGCACAGGTCTATTTGTTAAAATCACTAAGCCAGAGTCATTGCATTCTAACCTGGATTTGTCCTCTAGTGGCCAGAGTCACCACACAATAGAATAATTTCCCTAGATTTTTCACATATGGTTCCTGTATAATATTGTTGTAGCTATGCCACATCCAAAGTAACATTGTTGTGATTATTTCACATTGACCTAAAAAACTCTCATGTCTACCAATCTTGACTTCTACCGATTTGTCATTAATTTAGGGTTGCACTTCATTAGGTATTATTATATATATAGATATTTAAGTTTTAATCTAATGGATGAGAATGAATTACTCAAGATCTTATGGTTGCTAAATTTAGGTTGTATTTGGATTACATGTGAATCAATAGTGGGTTCATGTCAACTTGTTGACACGAATTTTTACGTGGGGCAAACGTGTCCATTTCGAATTTTGCGTGTTCAACCCAAACACGACCCATTTAGTATTTGTGTCTTCGGGTTGTGTCATATTCAGGTTCAAGTCAAAAAATGATTAACCCTAACCCTCTAATTATGTGTACAATTCGAGTCATGTTAACGTGTTACGTGCCAAATTCCCACCCCTAAGAACCATTAAGGTGTACCAAAAGCTTAAGGACCTAACCACACTAGATCACAGCCTACATGACTTCTAGCAACTCTCATAAACCCTTAAAAGACTACACTTTTATTCCCATCTCTCTCACAGCATGTAGAGTCCACTAAAAACAAAAATACACATAGATTCCTCAATAACAATAATTTTATATTATGTATTTATTTAATTTATTATATATGCATATCTAACAACCCAAGTCACCATAACAATCCAAATGTTGTAGCAGCAACAACATGCGACATGTGCCATTTCAAAACTCTTCGCCTAATCACGGTACACTCACACATGCACACCGAAATACATATATATGCATATAATAATATATATAGTTAACTAAGGTAGTGTTTGATAAAGCTGAAAATTGAAATTTAAAAATAAAGTATTGTATATTGAATGCTGAATTTTTTTAAGCTGAAAAGTTTGATAAAATTTTAAGTGTCGAACTAATAAAAATAAGGTGTTTGATATGTATAAGGTCAAATTTGAAATTTATTATGTTCAAATTGTATATTTTAATTTTTATATTGTGGTGGTGGTGGCATGGGGTTGGGGTTGATAGCGGTAGCATTGTTGGTGGTAGTAGCGGTAGCGATGTTAGTGGTGGTAAAATATGGTAGTGTTTATGGCAACAATGATAATAGTGATGAAAGTGGTGGTAGAAGTGGTGGCAGTAGCATGGCGGTGACAGCGGCTGTGGTGGTGGTAGTGGCGGCGGCGATGATGGCATGGTGGTGGTGGTGATTGTGGTAGTGGTGGCGTGATGGTGGTGGTTGCGGCGGTAGTGGTAGTGGTAGTGGTAGTGGTAGCGGTAGCGGTGGTGATAAGTTTATAATAGTGTATATCGATACTTATGTTTAGTATTTATAAATTCAGTCAGAATGAAGTAAGTCTCATATGACTTAAATATTTTTTTTAAGTTTTAGCCTTCATTTTAAGAAGTACTTAAATTTTTAAGTAATATCAATTATGGTTATCAAACAGGTTTAATTGATTATTACTTAATACATTCAATTTTAAGTGGTGAATCAGGTTATCAAACACCCCCCTAAATAAATAAATAAATAATTTATTTGTTCATCTCCTCCAAGCATTAGAAGTTCAAAATTAATAAAGTATCAATGCCCACAAGGAAAATTAACTAATAGATTTAAAGTTCTCAGTACTTGCTAAACAATACCTTTTGATGAGTGTAAGGTGCAATAGGCTGTGCTTGAATGTGAAAGAAATAAGG